CTTTGAATGAAGTAAACTAGTAAAAATAAAGTAAATCTCAAAAATCACTGCGTCCGACTGTGGCCCGGTACCAAATGACTTATGGACTGGTACCGGTTTTGGTTTGCAAAAACTCACACTGAATTTTAATTCAATTGTCTGCTTTAAACCAGAATGGATGAAATTCACTCACAGAAAACTCTTTTCCCTTAGCTTCCTCATCTTTTCTACTGGATCTTGGGCAGCCTGCAGCTAACTTATGGTGTGTGTGTGTTTGTGTGTGTGTATGTGTACACGTGCACACTAATGAATGTTTACATCAAATGCTGCGAGGCTGAGTGGGCGTTAACTTGAGACCTAGCGAACATTCCTTTCTTGTTAAGTGTTTGCAGCTCATCTTTTCCATTTGACTGTTTTCACTGTAATTATGGAGGTTTTTCTGCAGCAGCTGCTCTAAATCATATCTGTGTACATAAACCGGATGAGAGGCTCAAACACACACACACACACTCACCATGCACACATAATGTCTCTGTTTTTTTGCTGTGCTTACCACTGGCCTCTACACTGCACCTTATACACTCAGAGTTCTTGTACCTGAAGCTAGCTGCAGTAAACGTCGAATTGATGAACACAATAATTGTTCTCAATTCTATTTATTTTGGCTAACTTGTACGTGTATTTTTGGCAATTAAAAGTAAAATGTTCCTTTTATTCATTCTTTTTGCAAATTATATTTATATTCTTTCTATTCTTCTTTTGCAGATTTAACTTTTAACTCGGTGAGACATTGGATCTGGACAAACAACTTTATTTCTGGTAATGCATCTATACACTGTACATTCAGTCACTGTAGTATATAAGCATAGCTATTTTCAAACATAATCTCATAAAGTCCTTTACTTTACATTATAGTCCGTGTCGTGAGAGATAGGGACGGTTGTCACTGGAGACACAGGAGGACAAATGTGTGAAAACAAAGGAGATAAATGAAGAAGCCAAGCTCTTTTTTTATACTGTATATGTGGTGTTAATAAATCAGAAAGCTTACATTTACCTCTTAGATAAAAAATATTTCTAGAGTTGTAAGGTTTATATAAGTATTAGCAGCAGCACAGGGCTAAAAAAAAACGATACATGAGGATCAGAGGGTAAAACAATCGGCATGTGGAGTTAAGTCGTGTGCTCGTGACCCATAACTGCAGGTCAACGATCTGACACAAAAACATACTGTTAAAAATACATATGAACTTGTTCCATATAAAGACTCTACAGTAAAAAAAAAAGAAAACAAAAGAAAGTGGATAATAAACATGTTTATGTGGGGAGTATTCTCTTACACACTGCATTAACTGCTTTTGAAACCAACTTCCAAAAAAGACAGTTATTGTAAGAAAAGATTTCTTTCTGAAAAAGGTAAAACACCATGTACATATATTATACAGTATTGTAAATGAAAAAAAAAATATTTACATTTGAAAATTCTTATTCAAATCCTCACACTGGCTAGTATTTGTCTATTCATATGGACTGTATTGCTGCTTAACTTGTCCATTTTTATATTTTATTTTATTCAAAAATGATTTGCTTTTAGAAAATGCAAAGGTGTTAAATAGTTCTTTTTCTTTTTCGCTTGGGAGACTGAAAAGCCAATGTCGTTATTGTTCTCTCCCTTTTCTTCTTCGTAGAAAACCATGTGTAAACTGCCCACAGCTGCTTTTTAATTTCCTCGAGTGTAAAAACAACTACAAAAATGTACCAATTTATAAGTCACAGACGCAGTGTCGTCCAAACTCACGAGGGCGTTTGATTGTAAGGACAGGTCGGCAAAGTGGGAACAAACACACAAGTTGTTTTTTTTTTCGTTATTATGTACAACCTAAAGTAACAATTTTCGCCAAAGCAAGTGGCTTCGCAAAGATTCTCTATAAAACGCTCCGAACATGCATATCATCGATTTCCAATGCATAAAAAAGCGTTCATTCAGAAAAAAAAAGAAGCTGTAAGCCTCTAATAAGCACATGTTCAATTGTTTGCTGCATTGCAAAAGGAAAAAGAAAAACATTGTAAACTGGTTAATTTTTGATGAAGGAATACTGATTTTAAAAAAGACCTGCTGAGTGAAGGAGGAGGAGCGGGGTTGTCTGATTTAAAAGAAAAAAACAACAAACAAACCTGTAAACAGGAAGTTGTTAAGAGGCCCCGCCCCCTGAAGGTTTCACTCATCAGTTTTCCTACTCTGGAAACCTTTTGCCCATGCCCAGGCACTTGAGGTTGTCCAGCATTGCATGAATTTTTTTCGTCTTTTTTTGTTCGTTTATTTTTTTTTATTTAAATGTGAAATTTAAATTTATCATGTGTTTTGTTTCGTTCTGTGTGTGTGTTTTGTTTTAACTTTTCCCTCTTCTAAATAAGATAATTACTTTATGTTGCATAACACAAAAAAGTTACATGTACAGTATCAAATGCCCAATAACTATATGTATGGCAAAAACTTTGTCAAGGTTCATGCATAAAGAAAATATGAGTTTTCTATTTGAGAAATGTGAAACATAAGTGATAAGCAATAAAATATCGCCACATTAAAAGAAAATTACACAACCCAAAAGAAATTAGCATTAATACAATGTACATTCTGATTGCATTGTACTCACTGTGTGAAGGCAGAGTCGCTGGTCTCTGCATATAGAGGAAAAACTTGATATCAGTTTGAGGAAATGTGGTTTCTGGATGTGTTGATAGATATCGTTTGGTACAGAGTCACTAAAATCAGAAAAAAGTTTTTTTTTTTTAAATCCTGTGCAAACAAGCCAAAATTATATTTAATGACATTTATCAGAGTAATCTTTCCTTTCTATTGTTACCTAGTCATTTCAGCACATTACGGCAGAAGTAACCACTTAGAATTATTTTTTTAAGACGCAGAGTGTTTTATATTGAAAGAAAGACAATTTCTGAAACAATAGTGTAAGCTAGCTATATCCTGTTTCTGTTAAGATTTTGGTTTCTGTTTGGTGGTTAACAAAAATGGAAGTTGGGGAGTTGCTTAAAACAAGATGCTCCCAAAATCAGAAAAAAGGTTAGGTTAGATGCAGAGGTTAGGTTAGGTTAAGAATTAGAAGGATGGGAAATAGCTCTTTAATAAAGCGGAGCCAAATTCCTGTAAGCTAATAAATCTGCTTGGCAACATAGGTTTATTGGTTCAGTGACATTAGCTCTCTAATCAAAATCCTCAGTTTAACAAGATTTCCTGAACATAAAGCTAAGTCTGATTGAAGCTAATTGCACAGCTTACAGCTAGGAGTGGGTCATCTGTGAGTAAGCAAGCGTTAAAGCTAATTGCTGACTAGTTCAGGCTAAATCGACATTTAAAATGTTAAGGATTTCTGATACTGGAAATGGTAACATTGTGATCCAATGTTAAGAGCTGCAGCATTAGCATTAGCATTAGCCGAAGTCAACAGCAGAGTAGGCAACAACAGTTACTTACCATCCACAAGCTTATTTTTTACTGAGTTATATATTTTTCAATTTATTTCTAATGTCTTGATAATTTTAAGACACATGGAATAAAAGAAAAATATATTGTGAAAATGATCTTGTATGCACAAGACTTAAAAAAACCAAAAAACTTTCAGATGAGAGGTTAGGGACTCTGTAAAGGGTTTCAATTCAGAAATGTATGTTTTCTTTGTTGAAAATACTTCAACCTGTTGGTGGAGCATCAGATTCTGACATTTGAAAGTAAACTATAGGAGTTGAAGTTGAAATATTTCCCAGACTGTCAGCAAACAACAGGTTAGAGCCTTGTTTTATCTTTATTTACATGACTTTGCCTCAGTTGTTCATTAGAGATGCATATAATCAACAAAAACGCTTACTGGATTTATACGGTAGCAGTCACATATAAGGTGATTTTTTTTTTCTTTTATGTAGACAATAGAGGGAGTACTATGCATTTAGACAGTATTTTTGTTATGACAAAGTGCGATTCATTATTGAAAAATAAAAAGGGAAACAAAAAACATATATTTTTTTATATTTACATAATTTCTTAACAATGAACATTTTGCGGTTCTGGCTCAGGGGAATGCCACACTGAGTTTATTGGGATGTTCTAGAGAGTGTTTCTGGTGTTGAATAGAGAAACTGGTCTGTTACTATGTACTACAAAAGTTTCTACATTTCAAAAGTTGGGCAAAAAGGCCATGGAAGTAACTCTGTATTAAAGGCTGTGGAAAAGTAAGGCACTTTTTAAATTCAAATTTAACACAATTAAATATTTTGATTTGAACGTGAGAAGATCAACCTTTAATAAGTTCTGGAAACTTCCTCGGAGATTCTATAATCAGAAAAGATTTGATGAAAATAGAGCAGGATTTTTGATCTGTTTTGATTCCTCTTTTCTGTTTGTGCTCTTCCTCTTGGTGGCTCCATACTACAAATAACTTAATATACACTAAACTTTTAGGGAAAACGTTTACAAAGTTCTAAGACGTCGTTACTTTTCCACAGACAAAAACTGAGTTAATTCTTAAACCAGCACAGAGACTCTGGTCGAGATTCCAGGTTTGTTAGAAACAAGCGACTCTCATTAGTTAAAGGGTGCACAAATCAAATGCTTAGGAATATGGCTGTTTTGTGTGCATGAGCAAAGTTCTGCTGGAGACTGTTGGATATTGTTATTGTTCATCCAAAACAAGTGCTCGCTGATGAAGGTGCCTTTGACTCAGCCTGGTATTATCTCTAATAAAGGGTTTAGGTTTTATATTGGCCCCAGTGCAACTCTGTCCCCAACCATCCTGCTCTGAGAAATAGATCACCAGCAGGAGGCGTTAGATGAACCCTGAGTGGGCAGTGATTGTTTCCTGAAGAACCGACAAAGCCACGGTGGCACAGTGGAAAGTTCATCTCCTTGTTAATTTTTTTTCTCTTCTTCCATTCATCTTCTAACATCTTTTCTTTCTCTCAAACTCTGCTGTCTCAGAGACACAATGTCATTGTCCTTTGTTTTGTTTGTTTTTTTGTTTATTTTTGTTTATTTTTTACATATCGCTATGTAGTCTCTTAAATAGCTTATAATGTCTTCAAAATCCACCTTGTTCTTCTTATCGGCGAAGAACGATGGCGATGGGTACGTTTAGGTTAAATGTGAGTCCTGCCCTCCGGTCTGCACCATGAACTCCTCATCGCGGCTCTGATATAATCTGATCGACTGCTGTGTGTTCAAACGTTTTGATTTGTGTTCTTTCCGCAGAATCCTTAGACGCAACCGTGTGTTTGTGCTCTGTGCATGTTTTATATCATCAAAGACCTTCTGTCCATCGTTCATTGTGGAAGGTGTTGAGTCAGTGCTGGATTTTAAAACACACGCCTTCATGTTCCAAAACTGTACTTTGCCGTGTCCAGTTTGTGGCCGTTAATGGACATGGAGGAGTTCACGGCTCCTTGTTGTTTCTCATTCGGGATAAGAGTCTAGTACAGGTGCGTTGTGGAGGGCAGGCTTCGTGAAACTGGTGCCGTGCATCCAGCACCAGGTCTCCAGGTTGTGGTTATTGTTTGAGGTTGGGGACCGTGGTGACGGGTGATTGGTTCATGGGTTTAGTCTGGCGGCTGGGTTACTTGTCAGCCACCAGGTCCATGGGCAACCCGTCTTTGTCACCACAGGATTTGGGCCAAAGCTGCTGCTGTAGCTCCTTTACCCCTCTTTCCAGGGGCTCCCTGGCCTCCCGTTCATGCATCAAGTCAGCTCGGAGCTGTTCGCGGTCGGCCTCTGCGTGCTGCAGCTTCATCTGAAGGTCCTCGATCTGGTAAACACATGGCAGGAAACAGATGAAACGACTGATCGCACTCCAGGGTCGTTAGTAATAGAACGACAGGCGGCTAACAATGATGCCTTATGGAAGTCCATTTATAGAAGAGTTTATAGAGAGCATTTATTCCACAACTGGTTTACTATCATTTCAACATATACCTGAGGAGATAGTACGGTACTTTAAATATTCTTTATGGTAACACTTCATTTATCCTGCTATATGTCTACTTTTAACAGGATACCCTGGAGCGACTACGTCACTGGGCTGGCCTGGGAGCGCCTCGCGGTCCCCCCAGAGGAAGTGTCTGGGGAGAGGGAAGTCTGGGTGTCCCTGCTTGGACTGTTGCCCCCGTGACCCGGCCCCAGATAAGTGGACGATGATGGATGGATGGATGGATGTCTACTTATTGTGTATGAGGTACTATAAACAGATTTAAATTCAACTCAGAGTCTGCTTGCAGTGTGGCTAGACAAATATTTATTTACAATAATTATAAAAGATCTAGATTTTATAAAATGATCTCATTTCAATATAACTTCTACAACCTAATGTCATAAATTCAAAAATATAACATTCCCAATCTGAATCTAAATTTAAGTGGCAAAATTAAAGTCAAATTATTTCCATTAGTAAGTAGATGCTGTGTTTAATAACTTCTCTGTATTACTGGAGCTTTGTGAAAATGTTGACGCTAACAACAGCTAACACCAGTAGTAGAAGCTCCTCACAGTTATCGACACACTGTCATAGAACTGCAAACAGAACAGAAAAAAATGAGAAAGTACCAGGGTTAATGGAAGCTAGCTAAGTTAACATACCCACGTCTTATGGACTTCTGCGAGCTGAGGTGTTGCTAATCCAGGAAGATAATGTAATTAGTAGTTTTGAAACTAGGGAATTTTAGACCCAAATTAACCATAAGGAAAACCACTTGGTCATAAATAACATGGAAAAGTTACATTTCTGCAGGATTCCTCCAGACAGACCTGACTTCCATCCTTTTCTTCATTTTCTTCAACCGTTTTATTACAGCAAAGGTTCTTTCTCTCAGACCAATAAAGTTGCTAAGCGTTATGTTACTACTAGAGACACATTATCAGGATTGTTTTATTGATTGTGTGCTGGTTTTCATTTTCAGCCAAACGATCTTCGAGAGAAAGGATAATAACATGGGGAGCCTGTGGAACATGCAACACATCTCTGTCTGCCTCCCTGCAGGGAGGTGCACACATGCGGTTGGAGAGCACAACCTCCCTTCTGTTTTGTCTAATCTGCATTTCCCATGTTGCCTAAAGGAAGCTGACGTCTCTTCCTGTTTCCTCTCAGTGGGGGGGAGGGGAGGGGGGGACACTCGCATGTCTGTGCAATAAGAGCTACGCCCATTTATTTTTGACTGTGGAGAAGGAAATGTGTGTTTTTCTATCTTTCTCCTCTGCTGACCTTGAGAGTTTTGAGGGAGCAAAACACTGTAATTACTCTGAGGCTGTCGTCTAGACGTTTTACCGTCACTTTGCACACATCAGATCGTTAGTGTCGGCCTACAGTCACAGCATCGTCTTCTTTTATTTCGGTCCGCGTCCCCCATTGTTTTTAACTATGTCGTCAAAAGACCTCTTTTAAAACCTTTAAATCCAAAGATAGAAGCTCAAATCGTACCTCAGATCATTCATTAACTACATTCACTGACCTGTGCCGAGTACTTGGCACGAAGCCGTCCAGCCTCGCAGCCTTTGTCACAGACCCTTAACTGTCGGGCTTGCTCCAGCTCCCTCTTCAGGCGAATCCGTGACTCATTGGCTTCCTTCATCTTCTTCTCGCTCTCGGCCCGGAGACGCTCGATTTCCTTCCTAAGGTTTCGTTTTGCCTCAGTTGCTTCTCGCAGCTTCTCCTTCTTGGCCACACGCAGGAATTCCAACTCCTGAAAAGCAGATGTGGAAAGATGTGAGAAGTGACAAATGGAACAAACTCTTCATCAGCCCATGAGAAGAACAGGTCTTGACCAGTGAACTGCCAAACAAATAAAACCCCGTGGTGGCCAGAATGTAGGTCTGAGATGTGGCCCGTTTTGTTACCAAAATGTGGGCCACTGCATTAAAAAAAAGTGGGGCAATGTGTACTCTGATCCAGTGGTATATTTAGGCCAAGTTGACTATTTTATGTGTCGAATCATTGGGCCATACTATGTTCACATGTACTCAATCTGTAAGACAAGAAACCTGTTTGAATTGATCAGACCTGTCTATGGAGCTGCCTATACAACTTTTGTGAACACCAGTGGACAAACAATAACTGTCACACGGCTGATTGACTGCTGACACATAAGAGCAGTGACAGCAGTTACAGAAAACTGCAGTGTCTGTGTCAGTGACTGAACTCACTGTGGTGAGTCAGGGGCTGGGGCAGCGTGTGTGCTGACAGAAGGTAAGTTTTCCTTCCTCTCTATGACTGAAAGTGTCTCTGTATGTGTGTCTCTGTGTGTACTTGTGTGTGTGTGTGTGTGAGACTTGTGGTAACACGCCCATAGTCTTCTCATGGGAACCTAGCAGTTGGGACAAACATGTCTGTCATCACGCTTTGTTAGTTCCCACAAAAAGAGTGAAAAGAAACAATCCTCATCACACCCTCTACTCTGCACAGGCTTTACGTAAGAGCCCTTTGAATACCAGCCGTGTTAGGATTTATCCATTTAAACACACTGGAAATTATAGTAGCAGGTCGGTTGTTTTTCTTAATGGAAGACGATGATTCACTTCAAATTTCTTTGGTCACTGGATTGGATTAGCTGAGCTTCTCTCTACACTCGTGAAAAGTGAAAATGTTGCCACACAGGAACTGTTCTTCTTCCTTCTAGCTCAGGATGTATTCTGCGTTGCTCACACACATTCGCGCTCCTTCAATGGCAATCGCTTGTTCTCTGTCCAAGAACAAAAATAAAGTATGGCATTTCCTCCTTGGAAAACAACATCCGCTGTCAATTGGCTATCACTTGCCAACTCATACTACGCTCCACAGACTGACAATGACAACGGATCAACTTCTCTATCTCCATGTCTGAGCTGGAGTCACTTCCTCTGTGAGCCAGAAAGGTTTTTTTCTGGCCAATTTCAGAAAAGTTAGGAGAAAGCTGAAGTATTGTACTAAGTGTCACAATCGGCACTGGTTGGGAAATCCCGTTCTCAATGACACACACATCACGGTGTGGGTTTACTCCAGTGAAATGATATACTATATAAATATCACATATCAGTGTGAGAATAGGAACACTTGATCACCGGCTCTCGGAATATGAACACTACTGACGTTACACTGATCTCAGGCTGTTACTATTGGCAACATATGAAACATTTATGAGTCACTGTGTGCATTAATCTCAGTGTGTGCTCTGCAATTATTTACCCAAGATGCAATTACAATCTTTATTGACTTACGCCAACATAATTGACTGGTTTCCTTGAATGGCATAGGTAAGCTTAGGTGAGGCAGCTCATACCAGAGGAAGGAGCTGCCGTTTCAGACCTTTAGAAACTCCGAGGATATTTACGACTATATATATATAAGGTCGTCACCTGAGGCGGATCCGCTTAGCACTTCTTTACTTCAGATCACACCCTTATCAGGTCATAGTTCACTTAACCTGGTTAGGAAATGCTGGTCCTCTAGTGAAATAAAGGCATGTCTCCATTAGCATGCCTAGGCTACTAGTAGAGAATCTTAGTGAGGAACAAGCCTGACTGGGCACTAAGCTGACCTAAACAATGTGTAAGAATAGTTGGTTGTTACTGGATTAGTAAACTGCAGGTGATTTCAGGAGAGCTCAAGACAAACCCCCCAATGACAGGCAGCCTTCCTGTTGTCACATTCTTTGAGTTGGGGCGTAACACTTGCCCTAGATACCATCAAAAACGGTGTGCCAATTGTTCTCATAAAATTTGGCATGACTGTGTGTCTGCAATTCTTTGGAATCATTGGAAGGTTTGTCTCGTCGGTCCTACTTTTGTCTATCGTAGCGCTAAATCAATGTTTACAGCAGCGTCCAAAAATCTGTCATACGTGTGACTTGTGCAGATGTAATGAGGCTTACCTGCTGAAGGCTGCGTTTGGCCTGCAGAGCCGATCCCAGCTTCTCCTCCTGCTTCACCCTCATCTTGACAATCTCGTGCAGAAACCTCTCCTTTGACTCTTTGGAGTCCAGTCCACTGTCCAGGGCCTGTCGCAGGCTCTCCAGCTCTGACTCCAGTCCCATCTCCGGAGGGGTCACTGTGGATAAAATGGGTGCGGTAGGCGTGGTGGGTGCAGCGGCAGCAGGGACAGAGCCCTCGGCTGATGTGGTTGTGCAGGAGGAACCCTGGGCACATGGAGAACTCAGATCCTTGGCTGAGCTGCTGGACGAGGTGAAAGATGGCGATGACAGGGAGGAGAGGGATGAAGTGACTGCAGAGAGAGGACAAGGGGTCAGAGGGAACAGTTAGGTAAGTTTTCTGCAACAAAACAGTTGGTTGAAATGTAGTTTGGACTACTGGTTGACTTACACTCGTCACGACTCTCCACCTCAATCTCCACCTCTGAGTCTTTGTCCTCCTGTGGTGGTGGGGGCTTGCTTGTGGTGAAAGATGGAGGACAGGGAGGCTCTGCTGTCTGAGAGTGATGCTCCTCTGTGACTCTTCTCTTGCGGGGCCGTGAATTGGCTCCTTCACCCGGCTGTTCACCCCCGTTCGGGTGAGATGTGCTTGGTACTGACGGTGACATGGGGCCCACCTTGCCCAAAGGTAGTGGTGTGAGGGCAACATTGGGGGCCACACCGTTTTCCAGACTCTTGTAGTTATAGAAGCTAAAGGAAAACAAAGACATTTAGATCCAACGGTAAATCAAGAATAATTTTCAGCCAAAGCTGCGCTGTAATGGTCCAATCTGGACAGTGGACGTCAACCAGGGCCGAGAAGCTTTGATATGAAGTCCCTGCAGCTGTTTCCTCCCACTTGATGAGAAACTGGGCCAGATCAACTGTGATATGGTGCAGCCTGTTCTGGCAGCACCGTTGCTATTGGGTGCCCACATTATGAGTGTGTGTCAAATGTGTTTGAATGGTGGTGTGTGGGAGGCTGTGGTACAGTCAGACTTGACCTCTGTGATATCAGCCCACCCAGACAAGTGTGAGGGAGTGTGCTGTGGGTGAGCTCATTAGATCCACATAACTAAACAGCTACACTCACAGTGAACTCATCTCTGTGCTCGTACACATCCCATGGTTTCGTACTGATTTCTTTTCACGCAAGATCATTTCTGATTTTTCTTAAACACTCACCTGTCTCTTAGCAAGGCCAGAGGGTGACTGGAGGGCTCCTTATCACCAGCTGAGATGTGGGGCGACCAAGGCCGAAAGGCCGATGGTCTCTGTCTTGGCTGAATGCAGTTAATCCCCTTAAAAATACAGAAATGAAACTTGAAATAAGGCATGCTCCAAATACAGGAATTAGAACCAAGACATGAGAAAATGTATGAGTATCCACAGCCAGAATAAAAGGACAATTGTTTGGCCGCAAGAGTTAAAATAAAATGAGGATTTTAAATATCTGACGACCCCTGTTGCCTGAAGGACTTTTGAGCTTCCAGCTACCAAGAGCTAGAAGCTTCCTGTTTCCTCATGGTTTTTTACACATGTCAACGGGACTACTAAACTGTTTAAAGTTTCTTTGAATTCGATGGCATAAATGTGTTTTTTTTTTCCCCATAATGTCCCTGATCTCAAGACTTCTGAAGACGAATGAGGAGGACGTTCCTCTGCAGATGGATTTTTTTTTTTTGGTCATGGGGTATCGATCTTCTCAGGGGACATCCATCAGTGTACTGAGGTTATATTCTGTTTCACTGCTCTCTCAAACTTGGCTCCATCTCAGTAAGTGAATATGTGGGGCCCATGGGATCTACAATTACCCCCTCCCCCCGTCCTCTGTTAGCAAAGCCTGCCAAATCTAAATATAATGCTATCCTCATCTGAAAAGTTCTGTGTAATATTACATGACATCTCATCTCATGCACTGGGCTTAATTATCGTCATCAGTCTGGGCTTAGCAACACCTACCTTAGCAGAGGCGGACAGGGACTGTAGCCAGTCGTGCTGCCTCTCCTTGTCAGCCAGGGCGGATTGCGAAGGGAAGTCTTCATGTTTAGACTTTTTAATTGGGGTTGGATCAGATGGCTGGAAAAAAAAACAATAAAATATTTGTTTAAAATATTTGTTATTTTTACAGCAGTTTTCACAGTAGAGATCAGACTACTTTTCATTCAGAACGCTGCACTGTGTCAAATGGGTTTGAATATGTAAACACAACGAGGTCAAAAAGGTTTCCCACATGATATGAACACACATCAGGTTGCCTAATTGGCAGCTGGCTGAGGGCAGTCATACTGAAATGTCAATGAACTGAAAACGCACCCATAGTGCTAGGCAGACCGATAACTATGTGTGTGTTAGAGCGTGCACGAGTGTGTGGCAGTGTGTGTGTGTGTGTGTGTGTGTGTGTGTGTGTGTGTGAATGCCTGATAGGGGAGTGCCAAACGAGGTGTCTGATAGCTGGAAGTGTGACTGTGTTTAAATTTAGGTGTGGTGTTGACTTTGTGTGTGTTTTGTGTGTCTTTCTTTGGCTCAGGAAGTTGTTAGAGTTAGAGTTACTGAATTGTGCATGAACACGCACACACGCGCACACACACACAAATCATGTTTGCTCATGGGCAGCCAAGAGACAAGAGGTGACTGGGCCAGTGTCTGTCTGTGCTGCAGTGTGTGTGTTTAAAACAGATACACTCATACATTGAGACAAACGGGAGTTTGTCTCCTCTGCCCCATTGAGCTGCCTTTGTGGCAATGACCTCAGCCTCTCAAAGCTGTGGCTGACACTGCCCTCTTCTCTCGCTCTACTATCTGATTCAAACGTTTGATCTCTTCCTGCCAATCTTTGGAAGGGTACAATGTCTTTGTTTGTTTTTTGACTGTTAGCAAGATAACACTCCTAAGAACACCTAACAACACCTACAAATAGCAGGTCAACCTTAAAAGTTGAAGAGAACCCAAATACGCAGTGTTTGGTTAGAGACAAATCTGCAATTCTGCATCGTCGAAACCAGTCAAATAATAAATAAAAATCCGACCTGGTTTGAAAGAGTTTTTTTTAGAATTAGTTACAGTTTAAAATATGAAGAATTATATAACAGTGTTAAGCTACTTTTATCTGCTAGTGATGGCCTTGTGTGTCCATTCTTTTCTGATGAAGACCCTGGTACTTTGACTCGATCACAGTTTTTAACTATTCATCACTTTAAACTTCAAGGAAGTTTAAAGAGGACTCTCAGGGTTTAAAGCATCAATCAGGTCCAAGGCTTAGTCTGTAGGACATAAAGGTGTGAAAACATGTTCTTCACACTCACACTTTCATTCACACCAGGACTCTGACTTAAGTGTGACCAGGACACGTTTCATGGTAACCTGACAGTGTCCACTGTAAATGATAGAGCTGGGCTTACTTCAAAGATGCAGAGAAAAGTGTGTGTGTGTGTTAAGTGTGTGCAAGTGTATGCAAGGCTTTGCATGATCTGGGCTGGATTACACAGCATAGACAGGATGTCACACTTCTAAGATAAGGCTTTCCGATTAGCCCGGCAGTGTGTCAGACGCGCTGAGACTGCTCCGTCTATGTACTCAGTCCTCACACCTCACAGCCTCAACACAAAACCTGACAATATCTACACTGTCTGAGGGCTGGCATTGGCCTTCTAGTGAAACTCAGACGTAATTTACAGTGCCTGTAGTCTGAAACTATTTTTTCCCAGCACTGTTATGGCAAAAATAAGACTGTATCGAGGCTGGACCTTTGAAGCACATATCTGTCAAACGGGGATTTACCGCCCCTCGTTTCACACATGGCACTTTAGGACCATCCCCTGCATGAGAGACTCACAAATCTTAAAGTCCTGGTGTGGAAATAGCGAGAGTTTCGGGCTTCTTTCAGCTGCCGAGGGAGAGGTGGGGAGGGGGAGGGGAGTGACAGAGGAGGGAGTAGAGGGGGGGGCCCTACACAGGCTCATGCATGAGCACGTGTCAGGGCAAGTGGCTGTGGCTGTATATGTCTGTTGGTATATTCCTTTGTGTGTGCGTGTGCGTGTGTGTGTGTGTGTGTGGCTGCGGCAGGATGGGTGGGGTGATAACAGTCTTCTCAGTTGAAGACTGTCTGTGCCTTTGTGAAACCCGCACAGTTTCAGAACACTTCCTCTGTCTGCAGGCCAGAGTTGTTTGTCACAGCCAGACAACAAACACAGAATGCATTTAAACATCTCTATGTACGCTGTTTCTAAATCATATTTTTTCTAAATGTTTAAAGATTAGGGTCTTAAGTGCTGGAATTCTTACCTACTAAAATTGGCCAATAGATCTAAATATAAGCTTAAAGTTACCAAAACAATCTAAATAAACCTGTTAAATAAAAAAAGAAGCAGGCAATTTGACGATAAAAAAGTAACATAGCCAAAGGTTATTCCGGAAAGTATTATCTTAAGATGACCATGGAGGGGTAAACTGATAGAAGCTAAACAAACAGATAGTGACAAAATACGATATCATTTCCTAAAAACATCTCACAAGAACCAAAACTGTCTCCCAATAATGACATGCTATACAAATGAGTTTAAATATAGACGTTCCAGATTTGGGACTGATTTAGATAAATCTTCATCATAAACAAGAGGAGACCCAACTGTCATTTGAAGGACATTCAGTTTGGAAACATGTGAAAACCTTTAGAGATAATTTACACCACTGTCACAGAGACAAAGGGGTAAAAGATGAAAACAAGCTTTGACTATATTCAACCATAAAGTTACTAAACTATATTTCCCCCACTTGAGTTGAAGGCCTATTTTGAAATGCTTAGTGGTCTGTCTATACAATAAAGAAGTGAAGTAAAAGTACTAAATCACTGATGCTTTTTGGAGACTCTGGGGAGTTCATCCCACTGTACTTTGTTTGAATTCATCAGGACGTTTGGTTCAAGGAACAGATCAAACTCTGGGCCAAAAAGAAAATGGCAAAAAAACAAAAAACATCTGGAAACAGCAGGACGATGAGGTAAGTTCATACTAAATACCCCCCACAGTGCCTGCAATTAATGTGACAGCCAAAATGAGTGGCTTTATGTTGGGTTTTCCCCCATTAAACTGTAAAGATTGCTAATAAATGCTTTTCACACCTTTCTTCTCTGCCTGTGCTTTGGGTTTTCTATTGTTCTTTTCATGTCTCGGTTTGACATGATACAGTGGTGTCAGTTATCGCCATCTCTCTCTCTATAAAACTGAAGGGCAACTGAACAATTTTACATCACGGCAAGTTCAATCAATCCAAGGAAAGTTGCTCAACTCTTCAATGGACAACATAGATAAAAATTGAGTTAAATGCACTTCTCGTGAGTATTTCCATTTAAAAAGGCTAAGGACCAGTACTAGGGTGATCAGAAATTTGGGGAATGAAACCCAAACCTGTGAACTGTAAACTACTCCAACAACAGAATGATGATTTAGCATTTGGCAGATGCAAGCTCTATGCAAGAGTTGCTAAAGTTTACAAAACTAAAAGTTGCTCTTGTCAAACACTCAAATATCTTGTAAGGGAACTTGGCTGTCTTACACCATCAATCACAATCGACAAGTGAATCTCCAAGTATATGCCGCAGGTAAAAGTTGAAAACTGCCTGTGGGAAATTTTGACATGAGGCAGTTAGAGGGTGAAGTGTCACTTTCTAACTGCCTCAAAACCAGACATCTTTGAACTATGAAGCATGCAACTTTAGTCTTAATACAATCTTATGGCCTGTATGTCTTGAAAACCCAGCTCTAAATATGTTCTAACTAGACAAGGTTGACATCGAGGAAAAAGAACACGAGCAAAACAAGAAAAGTGTAAGCCTCGAGGATTATGAAGCTCATGGACAACTGAGCAATGAACCAAAATGTCAGAATTGGTCGCGAGCAAAAACTAGGTATGGTATTCCAGAATGACCAACTAAATAACAAACCCTCTTTAGTGTAGAAATGTGAACATCATTTTGGGATGTCACATGAGCGTGAAGCTCTTGACGGTGTAGTACAGTACTACACAGAAGAGTCTGTCTTGAAGTGAAACTTCAATATACTTCCTGTCTTGTCGAGGTTCATTCAAGCGAGTAAAGAATTCATATTTACAGAAGACGTTTGTTAACATGAAGTGAGAACTGCTGCAAACCTTTCCTGCATAATGTTTACTTGTCGCTGTTACCATTTCCTATGACGAGGACTCATTTCTGCTTTGACCGCAGTGTGAGTATGAGTAAAGGACTGTAGAAGACAAACCGTCCGCAGTGGTATGGTGTAAAACAGGTTGCCTAATAAACCAACCCCCCCCCCCCCCGCCCCCCAGGACGAGGACCGAGATGAAAGGGCAAACAACCTGTTTTCTGTACTCTTTCTTTACTCAGGAGAGTGAGCCTCAGCCACACCCTGCCTGTGACCTGACTTTGGCCTCCTGTGCATGTCTTTCTTGCTGAGGGGCCCATGGTGGTGGAAAAGGGAGGGGCCCTTCCTGGAGGCAAAGTGACAGCTTAGCTAACCTCATACAAAACAGCCACAAAAACACCCGCATATGCTGGGAAACAAACAGGTGTCAGACAACATGTCATTCTACAAGGACTGAAAAAAAAGTTTTGATGTTTAAGTTCCAGGCTGAATTTATTATCTGCGGGCAGGCAAACTTTCCCCTGAGGACTGAGACATTTTTGTGTCTGCTGAATGGCTGGGAGCAGCCCTGGTGAAGGTGAGATGTTTTGAGTGGAGAGTTGAACTTTGACCACCTGTCCATGCTCATTTCTGCTCAGACAGAATGACTTCTAACTATGTGTGTGCTGGGCGAACATCCGGGATAAAAATACCGTGTGGCTGCTCACTCCAAAAAGAAACCTCGAGTGTGGATTTGCACACTTGCACACACACACACACACACACACACATACACACATGCACAAAGCTCCATTTTTGGCAACTACTTTATCCCACCATCGTCTCCTTGGCTGAGGAGTCGCTTAGAACAATGGAGTCTCTGTCTACACTGAAGTAAATAGCAAAAAAAGTGCTTTGCAGTCAAACTGCTGCTGCTGCTGCTCAGCTCAGTGCACTGCACTT